ATCGAGTACCGATCTCGCCAACCCTGTCGTTTGGATCTACCGTGGGGTCAAGAAGAAAAAGGAGTACTGGAACTTCCACGAGAAGCGGCAGCCAGTCTAGCGATATCGTTGATATGGCTAGTGTTCTCAGAATGAAGATGAAAGCCGATATCATGTGCTCTAATGTCGAGGAGCAGAAATTTGTCCCCGAGACTCAGCTGAGAGCCCTGCTAAACAGGGCAGATGTGGAGGCCACTCTTCAAAAGTGCAAGCCGCTACGAAACCCTGCAACAATTCCAGAACTGGCCGAATTCATAATCACAAAGGCATACAAGGTTTTCGCGATTCTAATTATGATTGACAAACCTCATCTGATCGGTCAGTTCTACGGCAAAAATTTCTCTCAAGAAATGCTTCCCGTTAGAGAGCCGTCAGCAATTGGAAAGGGCATCTGGAAGCTTGAACCGTACAACAATGACAATCATAGCCATACATTCTTTTGCAGAGAGGATTCCTGGTGGACGGATGTTACCGCCGACCACTTCTTTTCCCAGCAATGGGCGTTCACAGCTCCCAAATTTGTCACGGACCAGTTCAGATATGAATTTGAGATGAAGAGGCACCTTCCCTTTACAAACCTCGAGAAGAAGGGCCAAGGAAATTCTGCTTACAGCTGGGTCGAGGAGAGGAGCGTTCATGTCGACCACATTGAGTCTCGACCGGACCAAGTGAGTAATCCCAGCCAAAGTTCAACCCAGCTCAAGCACAAAGCTAACAAAACGTCAGAAACTTGCCCTGGATACGAACGGAAATCCTCGAGTGGCTCTCAAGACGTTGAAGAACACAGACAAGAACTTTGCGGAACAAGAGGCTGCCGTGCTTGAGACGATGAGGGGACTCAAAAGTGAACATTTGATCAAGGCCATCGCCTATTATAAACAAGGGAAGAGTCATTGTTTCATGTTTCCTTGGGCTGAGCAAGGAAACCTCTGGGAGTTCTGGATGAACAAACAGAACACCCCGAATACGAGTCGATCTTGCCTCACATGGGTATTCACACAGCTCACAGGGCTTGCTCTCGCCATCGAGGAGCTGCACACGCCAACTCAGTCACGAGGCGGCTGTCGCCATGGCGACTTGAAACCGGAAAATATCCTTTGCTTCCAATCAGGAGTTCATCAAGATTACGAGTCGCTATCTAGTGTTAGACTGGTCATCACCGACGTTGGGCTGGCCAAGGTCCATGACCAAGTGACCAAGCGACGCGCCGCAACTGCGACTACAGTGTCGACCGAGAGGTACGCAGCCCCAGAGATGAAGACCAATCCTAATGGAAGGTTATCGCGTCGGTTTGATATTTGGTCCATGGGGTGCATTTTCCTGGAGTTCGCCATCTGGATTCTCTATGGGGCCGCCGAACTCGAACAATGCACCAAGGATCTGAAAAACACTTTCTTCCAGATCAAGGCAAACGGTGAGGAGACCAGTAACGGAGGTCCAAACTCAACAACAAACGAAATCCAGGTCAAGTCTGCTGAAGTTCATCCTACAGTCCAAGGGTGGGTGTCATATATCAGAAAGGACTGGCGTTGCTCCAGGGGGACTGTTCTGAGACGCCTGGTTGAGCTCATTGTTGATAGGCTCCTGATCGAGAAGGTCGAGGATTTCAACATGGAAGGTAGCGACAAGGACTCCAGTTCATCTCCTACAATACCGATCTTAGCCGGCATGGCGCGGACGGAGACCTGGCCGAAAGATGATCTTCCCGCGGCCGATGTTTTGGCATCGCGGGAATATCGCAGCTACGCTCCAGAAATGAGACAGAAATTGTCAGAAATCCTTGAGGGCTTGAAGAGTGGAAAGATCGAGCCGACAGGGAAGAGGCCGTCAAACGAGACACCTATACCGAAAGGACCATCACATCTACGATCGACGACACAAAATGGGCTACTCACTGTTCCTACCACTAATCGGGTAGGATAACTGGTGCCTGCGCGGCTTATGGAGTTGCGTGCTAACTCTAAATCCTATATCTCAGAATGTGAGTCTCCTAGCAAACACCTGACGAAATGTTCCCGAACACTAATATGAACGTGGAAGGAAGTAAGTTCGACCTCATGGCGGCAGTCTCCTAGTGAATGGGGCCAAATTTCTAACCCTTTTCCATAGTACGTAAGTACTCAACACTGGATATTGTGAACACGTCAAGGAAATAAGTAGACTAATATCGCTTCCATCTCTCCGTTGCGACCGAACAGAGAGTGAGTCGATCTAGTGATGTCTCTGCTATCTGCAAACCCGAATTTTACTAATTAGCGTTCTTCGCAAGTTTGTGAGTATCCGCTGAGATGATTCAAGATTAGCATCTAATTCACCCTTTCAGACCGTAGGTTCATCATCATGTTTATTCTATCCTATTACTCCAAGTCGAGGACTGGTAAAGGGTAGGCTCAAACTGACATCCCGCTTTCCTCCCACAGCCGGTACGGAATGTCATGTCTATTTCCCGTGAGACACGGCTCAAACCTTTATAGTTAAACGACAACTGGGACTATACCCCCGATGATGCAATAGCGAAAAGCTTTTCATATGTTGATTCTTTCACATCACCACCAAAGATGAATCTCTGCAGCCGATGTCGTGACCTGGAGCTTTGGTCCCTTGAGTGCCAATTTACAGACTCACCAGAAGATCTACATAGAAAGGCCAGGAAGGACGGATGTGCACTTTGTCAGCTTCTATTGCACTGCATCCGAGGCCGAGCAGTCAATCTCCGACATTTGGTCAAATTCGCCCGTGTCGGATCTTATCTGACAATTGACGACGGCCGTGAGCAACCAGTAACCAATTTCTACAAGATTCCAGGTTTGTGGTGTTTCCGTCAGCACGGCGCACTCTGACAAGTGTTTATATACAGGACCACAAATTCGCTCCTTACAGAACATCCAGATGGGCTTCCCAAAACTGGCAGACCCTGGCAGTGTAGCCCATTTCAGAATACTAAGAGAATGGCTCAGCAGCTGTAACAATACGCACGAATGTTTCCCAGCATACGTTGACTTCGTCCCAACACGGCTCCTTGACGTTAGCGACAATGACTCCGGAACGGTCAAGCTCTTAGATAGTGAGTGCGACCACGTTAAAACGGAGAGATACGTTGCTCTATCCCACCGTTGGGGGTCTCCCGAGCATCATGCCAAACTTTGCACATTCAAATCCAATATCGATACCTTCAAACGCGGAATTGAAGTGTCAGCTCTCCCGAAGACATTCCAGGATGCCGTTTGCGTGACCCGCGGTCTCGGCTTATGCCGCCTGTGGATTGACTCAATTTGCATCGTTCAGGATGATCCCAACGACTGGGACACCGAGTCCAAGCTCATGGAGCGCGTCTTCAGTTCGGCGTATTGCACCATCGCTGCCAGCTGCGCCTCCGGCAGCAGCGATGGGTTTCTCAAGCCGCGGCTTAAGAGACAGTGCGTTCCGATGCAAGTTCACACTGACACCGATACGACCTACTACGTTTGTGAGGCCATCGATGACTTCCACAGCCATGTAGACCAAAGTGAGCTCAACCAGAGGGGCTGGGTCATGCAAGAGCGAGCCCTGTCCCGTCGTACAATCTACTTTACGGAGACTCAGTCATATTGGGAATGCGGCGGAGGCGTGCGGTGTGAGACCATGACCAAAATGAAAAAGTATGCACACCCTTAATCCCCCATAATTATCATTAGCCTCAAATACTAATTCAAACCCTCGTCTATTCCAGCCGCAAAGCCTCTTTCCTCGGGGACTCAGACTTTCCTCGTTCAGCTGACAAGTATGTCAAGGGAATGAAGATCGAGCTCTTCCAGGACCTCTACGAGCGGTACTCCAAGCTGGCTCTCTCATATGCCTCCGACCGGTCCATCGCCATCAAGGGGCTCGAGACTAGACTTCTCCAAACCTTCGACACGACAGGCGGATATGGAGTTTTCGACATTTACTTGCACCGATGTCTACTCTGGCAGCGAGCTAGCGACAGCTTGAAGCGCATCACTTCAACTCGCGGTAGCTTAGTCCCTTCTTGGTCTTGGATGGCCTACGATGGTGCGATTTGTTATTTGCCCGTTCCTTTTGGAAAGGCTTCATGGCGCGATGAGATCAAGTCACCTTTCACCAAAGCATCGCGACGGAGCGTTTTGGGCAAGAAACAACATGATGACCGTGGTGCCAGCGGGCATATTCTTGAGTTAGAGGCGCCGGTTTGGAATCTTGTTAGTGCGCCAGCTGGATCGATCATATTGGACTCACTCGACCACACCTCCATTCAGCCCACGAAGTGCGTTGTTGTGGGCAAGAGTAAGGCAGAGTCTACGGGCGAACTCTACTGGGTTTTGCTGGTCCATTGTGTCAAGGACGATGGCGACGGCGCGTACAGCCAAGTATACGAGAGGATCGGAGTTGGTGTTCTGGAACGACGCGATATTGCTTTACATGAATCGGGGAAAAGAATCAGGTTATGTTGATGGCAACAGTCTTAGTATGCTTAAATAGCTACTTTTGACGCTAAAACGAGTGAACTAAAATTTTAATTAACCGTTTTTAAGCGCATCCGAATACAATAATTAAAATATTTATTTCCTTATTCAGGTACTATATTACGCTTATGTTAATCCCCATTTTATCTAAATTGGATACGTATTAGATCTCAGCATCATAGTCCTGAGTCTCAGTAGAAGAAATGAGACTACATGGAAACTTTTAGCCCGAAAGCTGTACGTATGTTGCGCGTTCCACTCGACACATTTTGCCACGCAGTATTTCAGCAGCTATAGCCACTATGAAGCACATCACGATCTAATTGGAACGAGAGAAGCAGAATCGCCCATGATCGTGTACTTATATATAATTCTGATTCCCAAGAGCTGCGAATAAACACCATGGGCAATAACTTCTGATAAATGGGAGACCCGTGCCTTAACTAGTTGAAGCATGGGGCTCATAGATGATGATTTCAAAAAACGATTCCAACCCAGTAAAGCAATTTGGCGCAGTGGAAGCGCGGTATGTTTACCTCATCAACCACTAAAAAATGAGCTATCACTAACTCATCCCAGCCGGGCTCATAACCCGGAGGTCGCACGATCGAAACGTGCAATTGCTATCTCATCTCACATTTGTGAGCGTTTCTTTTTTGCCATTTTTTCAATTTTTTTTCTTTCATGTAACTACGTTCATCTCTAGTTTTTGTGACGTCAAGCGCGTTGAGTTCACGCCTCGGCGTGCTGGTATTCGTAACCCATAAAAGACATGAATTAGAATTCCGATTCAGCACTAGCAATCACAGCTGTCTCACTCGGTATTGAGACTTGGCAATACTAACCGATGGCTTCATGATCAGCTATTGCTCAATAACACTGCCTTCCAAAGAGACAGATACTCGCACAAGAAGGACACAGTTGGCACTCAACCTAACGTCCGGTCCCAAAAAACCTTTCGCATTCTTGAGCCAGTTGTGTGGAAACAGGTTTTGGTTTAAAACTCCCGGGCCCCAATCTGTCGCCAAGCGAGAGCAAAAAAATCACGACCCACGGGCTGTCACCTTTAGGCTATTTGTGAGGGTCGATCCATGATCAGTGTCTCCCCAAATCTTGCACAAGGTATTGGTGTCAAACCCAATTATTTGGTCCCATTTCTAGTCATGAGAAGCTTAATTACCCTAGAACACAACCATTTCTACCTAAGTGGAGTAGATCGCGGTTATTTGAAGACTAAAGATGAGTGTGTGATGGCGTGCTGAGGGGACTCCGCATCTCGGAGGGCAGGTCGAGGAACGTTACGATGCCCATCAACATCTATGAAATGTACCAGAATTCTTTACCTAAAATACTCCGCATTCTACATCAAGTACCGGATCAAGCAAATACTCTTTAACAATCAGAACACACGTCACAATGAGCAATGACTACACAACACAGTCGTCCAAGAAATGGATTCTCAACGCTTTCTTCATGAGTAATCCTGCTTTTGTAGCACCCGGTATTTAGTTCGCATTATCTGTTACATCCCGATTTTTGCCTTGTCTCAAGTTCGTCTTTGGGCTGACACCAGTTCACGCAGGGCTATGGAGACATCCTCGCAACCAAAATAAACGCTACAATGATATTAGCTATTGGATTGAGTTGGCCAAGATCCTGGAGGGAAACTTCCACGCTTTATTTCTAGCCGATGTTCTTGGTCCTTATGATGTGTACAAAGGACCTAGAAATATCAAACCAACCCTGCCAGGCGCAGCCCAATTTCCTGTCTCGGATCCATCGTGAGTAACAAGCTCGTAATAACAACACACTAGAGCGCATCATTAACAAATCTCCTAAAGATTGCCCATTGCCGCGATGGCTTCTGTGACAAAGACTCTTTCTTTCGGTCTTACAGCCTCCACAACATACGAGAAGCCATACTTGTTGGCGCGAAAATTTGCTACCCTCGACCACCTCACAAATGGCCGCATCGCGTGGAATATTGTGACGAGCTACCTCGAAAGCGCAGCTAGGAGTATGGGTCTTAAGGAACAGATACCGCACGATGAAAGATATGCCATTGCGGAGGAATTTTTGGAGGTTGTCTACAAGCTTCTCGAGGGCTCATGGAGGGATGACGCCGTTGTTGTTGACGAAGTCAGCAAACAGTATACCCATCCTGACCGGGTGAGGAATATTGAACACGAAGGGTAAGAAATTGCTATTCATTCAAGTGAAACTGTGGACTAATTCAAGATAGGAAATTCTTCCAAGTGGTAGGCCCGTCGCTGGTAGAGCCGTCGAGGCAGCGAACCCCTTTCATATTCCAAGCCGGGGCAAGCAAGGCGGGCAAGGCGTTTGCTGCGAAGCATGCGGAAGCCATTTTTCTACCTGGAATGGAATTCTCGACTGTACGACGAACGGTCGACGAGTTGCGACGGCTAGCGGTCGAGCAAGGCCGTGACCCGAGAGGTCTCAAGCTCATTGCAGGAATACATATCGTACTTGCCGAGACAGACGAGTTAGCCCAGAAGAAGTACGAAGAGTATCTTTCCTTTGCTGACTTAGAGGGGTCGCTTGCTCTGTTTGGAGGTTGGACTGGCACCGACCTCGGCGGCTTCGCCGACGACGACGATTTGAAGTTCACTGGGCCACCAGCGATGCAGAGCATGGTTGAGAACTGGAGCGCGACGATTCCAGGAAGTCAAAACATCAAATGGACTAAAGCCCGCGTTGCACAAGAACTCGCTCTAGGGGGTCCTCACGCGCGAGCAGTAGGAACAGCTAAAACTGTTGCTGATGTTTTGGAGAGTTGGATCCGGGAGACCGATATTGATGGCTTCAACATCTCATACGCCATTACTCCAGGCGATTTTGAAGATCACGCCAAATACCTGGTACCGGAACTGAAAGCTAGAGGGGTGTTTTGGGATGCAGTTCCAGCAGAGGGTCGAACCACGCGAGAGAACTATCTTGGCGTCGACTTTGCGCCTGGAGGCAGACTTAGTAGCGATCACCCTGGATCTCGATACAAGTGGCCGGCTAGCGATACATAGAGAGTAATAATAGCTGCATAGGAAGTTTCTTAACTTGTCACCTGTGGTGCCTAAAGTTAGGTAATGGCTTGGGTTCACTTAAGTGGTAACAGTTTGGACGGCTTGAACGATAATTGAGGCGGTCGAAATTAATGAGATATCATTCATAGATGACTACAATTCCGATAGTGTTTCAGATGAAGTACCGCCCCACGACTGTTGGATGAACAGAGGACAAGGACGAGTGGCAATAGCTCTGTGTAGGAAAAATGTTGCTCCTCCGTCAGAAAGCAGAGAGACACTGGCCGCGCGTCCAAGAAACGGAAGAGTCACATATTTTTGAAAGAGTTTGGGAGCTAGACGAGTTCAAGATTGGCAGCAATATCTTTGAAGCTGCAGATCAATAGCCCGGATGGCGTGCGTGCAGAGTCTGCGGGTTGTTGCCTCTTCATGGCAAAGTCCCGGCCGCCAGCGACCCGGTTCAAGGGCATGTTACACCGTAGTGTCGGTACTGCCAGGCGGTAAATCAAGAAAAATCGCCGAAATGGCCGGTGAGGGAGGGTTAAGTGCGGGTATATATCCAAATGGGACACTGGCATGAGGCTGTTCGAGGTTAGGAGATCTGATGCCAAGCACTTTGGGCCGGAGCACGCCTTTCGCGAGATAATTCAGTCATTCGAGGTGCGGGGCTTGTAATCTATCAATCGCTGCAGTCATTGTGTAACTGGCCCCTCGTAGGCATGTTTGATTGCCGGGGATCTATTGCGTGATCACACCGAGCTAAGGTATTGCTGCAGGCGGGTCTCGAGGCCGATCACTATGTATAATTATCGGCGCCAGCTCTGAAATACCACCTCACTATCGGAGCATATCTGATGTTTAAATACCGTCGAGATATCTGAGCTCAGGTTATCAGTTTGCCTACTTTTCTGCGTCCTCTGTTTCTCTGCAGATCACTCCACCAAGGCATCTAAGGTTGAGCTCGTTCATCTCAAACCAGACGATGGCAGACGATAAGGATGCCCCACACGACGAGGCAAGGGTTGCTGAGCCCGAAAACTATCCCGGTGAGTGCCGATAACGAACCTGTTCTCAATGGCTGAGTATTGACGATCATGATAGTGAAGTGGTATCGCTCACCCACGTACAATGCCACTATCCTCGGAATGTGTAGTTTTGCCGCACCTGGCCTTTGGGGAGCCATGAACTCTCTCGGCGCAGGAGGCGCGCAAAAGCCGTATCTCGTCAACACCGGCAACGCACTCACGTTCTGTATGATGGTGCTATCTTGCTGGGCCACCAGCGGCATCGTCAAGTACATTGGTATTAAGGGCGCTCTCATTGTCGGAACCATCGGCTTCGCACCTTACAGCGCAGGTCTATACTTGAACAACCGGTACGGAGTTGAGTGGTTGGTCATCTTGGGAGCTGCCCTTTGTGGTATTTCAGCCGGCATCTTCTGGGCCTCCGAAGCTGCCATCGGAATCAGTTACCCAGAGCCCAAGAACAGAGGCAGATTGGTGGCTTACTGGTTGACTTGGACTCGACTCGGACAGATTCTGGGAGGTGCCATTAACTTGGGCATGAACGCCGATCGTAGCGAGGCTGGAAAGGTCTCGTACAACGTTTATCTGATCTTCATCGCTCTTCAGTGCTGTGGTCCTTTCGCCGCATTGCTTCTTAACCACCCGTCCAAGGTTCAACGGTCAGACGGCAAGAAGGTTGACCTTGCCATCTTCGACCACCCTTGGCAAGAGTTCAAAGCAACCACAAGGACCTTTTTGAGGAAAGAATTCCTCCTGCTCATCCTCTGGATTGGCCAGGCAGTGTACTCGGAAGCCGTCTTCTTCACTTACATTGCTCTGTACTTTAGCGTCCGAGCAAGAGCTCTCGGCTCATTTATCTCAGGAATCGTCGCCGTCATCGCCGGAAACTTGCTAGGTCTATGGCTAGACCAACACCGAGTCGCCTTGAAGCAACGAGCTCGGTGGGCGTTTGCGGTCATCATGACGCTCCAGGGTGCGTGGTGGATTTGGCTCACCATCAACGTGACGGAATTCCGTCGCACATCGCCAATCTACGACTGGAACGATCCTGGATTCGGCCGTGCCTTTGGAGTGTTTGTGTTCCTGGTCTCGGGGTTCCAGCTCAACTACAACTTCGCTTTCTTCATCATCGGAGAACTATCGTCGAGTCCCCAAGAAACGATTCGCTTATCGGCACTGCTGAGAGGCACCGAATCAGCGTGGCAGGCCGTCAGCTATGGACTCAACGCGATTCCGATCTTTGCTGCTGTTGGAAGCACATACATCAATTTTGGAATCTGGGGATTGTCTTTGGTACCGGCCTGGCTGGTTGTCCGGAAATTTGGCACAAGCGAGTCTACAAACAGTGACGCTGAAAAGCAAGGAGATTCTTCGGACAAAACACAGCTGGACGTTGCTAACTAGACGTTCATATCTCGACTATGGTATAGGTATTTGTTGGTCATGATCGAGGGTTATTGAGAAGAGTTGGCCCAGTCACTTGAAAGGGCTCTAATGCCGACTTATTAGTCAATGTTGGGATCGGACCTTCAGTATAGCATACAGCGAGTAAATCGATTTTAA